TGCTAGAGTTTTTTTTTTTTCCATGAATCCAAACACAAATCTGCTAAAACAGACTTCTATAAAGGAGCAATGAACATTTTAAAACAGGTGAAATGTAAAGTCACTTTCATGAATAAACATATCCTGTCATCCATTAGTTTATTTGTGGTCAAATCATGGAACTTTCTGCTGATCAGCAGCATAAACTGGAAGCTATAGGCTGAGTTAGTAGTGATAATTAAAATTGACTGCTCACTGAACTTCACTCTTTGATGATGTCACTGGTTGTTGTTCACTCATGGCTACTATATCCAATCAACTGCTCATAATTTTTTAATTATCTACTTTTTCTATTTTTTATCCTTGTCGTTTTAATGTGTAAGATTTCCCTAATTGTTTTCTCTAAGAAAGCCTTTTGTCATCTCTGACTGGGAGTATTTTTCCTGCAGGGAACAAAAGAAATACAAATAAAAATGATAATAAACCTCAATCTGGCTTTACTGGTATAGTGAAAGCAGCAAAGGATGGTTCACATTCAAAATAGATGCCATGCAATAAAATAATCTTGATTTATTTATTTTTTAAGTGAAGAGAAAAGACAGAAATTGCAACAAGTTTAATTTGATGTTTCACAGTTTGGTCAGCATTGACTTTAAGTAAACCCACTTTAAAAACTGAACTCAAGTAATGAATAAAAGTATAATTACATAAGTAATTCCCAAGCTTTAGCGCCATCCTACAAAGTTACTGTTTCAGAGATTTGTCACCACATTAATCATTGGATGAACTTCAAACATGGATAATGAACTAATTAGACCAGAGCAAAATGACAACCCAGAACAAGCAGCCAGTACACTATTAGAGAAGGTGGGCATGTCGCCAGTTCAACTCCCTGTTTCGACAACATCAAAATGTGAGGGAGAAAGGTGAAACACCCACGTCTTCCTCCACCCTCATTTGCCCCACTCTGGGCCATTGAGCAAGGCCCTTAACCTCCACCATCTGCTCCCCTGGGTGTCCTAGCTGGCAGCTCTCTGCTCCACACAGAAGGCTGTGGTAGCTCAGTGGTCTGTGGTTGTGTCAGGAAGGTTGTCCAGCATAAAAACAATGCCAAGTCTTCGTGTGAGTTGGTTCTCTGTGGCGACCCCCGAAGAAGGGAGAAGCCGAAAGAAGAAGATAAAAAAATTCATGATTATAATCATGTTTAAAATATATTTCTAAACGTTTTAAAATACAGAACTGCAACTTTGGATACTCTTAGTTTGTGTGATAGATATTGAATATGCAGTAGAACTGTTATTTCTAACCTGGACCCAAAGTTCAGCCCAGCCCAAATTTGGGTCGGGCCGTTATAATGTGCTGGATGGGCGGGCTGGGTCAGTGTTGGGCTTTTGATTGTGTCAGCGGATGTGCGCAGCTGGCAATCCAGTTATTTGGCAACATGGCTTGCCATATATTACGTCCACTGGTTTCTAGGGGGGCCTTGTGATGGACTTGCGACCCATCCAGGGTGTACCCCGCCCCTCGCACAGTGATTGCTGGACATGGGCACCGGCAACAATTGTAGTTTTAGTTTTGTTAGATAAGAGGTGATTTTATTTTCTAGCCAGAAGGGGTATTCTTTTGTTTGTTGTTTTGGCCTTGGAGACCCTGACGTTCATAGCTTCCCCTCTTGTCTGTAACACCCCAAAACTCTTACACAATTAAATTATTGTAATGCCAAGTTGGGTTGTTATTGAGTCATTAGCTTTATGTTTAGTAATTTTTGTGTTACACCTTGCACCTCCTAGACTTATTCCAAGGGTTGTAACACCATACAATCCAATTGTATGGCAACATGGCTTGCCATACATTCACCAGCCGCACATGGCCATTTCACCACGAGCTGACCAGCCTTGAAAGAGGTTAAAAAAAGTTCAGTTAAGCTTCAGATGGGACTACCGGTACTGCCAGGCAGTGATCCATCAGCCCAAATGGACGTTCAGTCGCTGCATTCAGTGGACGCACGCGGCAGATGACCCAAACGGTGAGATCCCAAAGCAGACATGTCAGAGCAGGGTCCGTGTCTGAATAATGCAGAATGCAGGCAGAAGCAGGGATTTAATGCACTTTGACGGCTATGAAAGGACAAATAACCCCTCAGCTCTGATCTTCTGCCCCTTTTATTCAGCCGCGTGCATCCGCGACCATTAATAACTATATAAGCAGTCAAAGCTTAATTTAAAATGTTGGGGGGGTCGGGTTCAGACCTGCAATTACTGTTAGTTCATCAGGTCGGGACGGGATTTTTGGGCCCGAATGCAACTCTAGAGTTGTGGCAAGTTTTGATTCACACATAATCTGATGTTATTTCAAACAATACATAGGATTTATTCCGTTTTATATTTTATTGTATTTTAAGCATGCTGTATTTATGAATGCGGTATGTAATGTGCTAAACAAATAAAACTTGATTTATGGGACATAAAATGCCATTTTTATGGCTTGTCATGTCAGGGTCCATCCAGCCATCTCAATACATGTACACCAACATATTTTGTGAACATGTTAGTTGCAAATGTTTAAAACGTGGGTTTTTGTTCTTCTTTCTTCATGTCTGTGCACATGAGCTCTAATCTTGGTTGCATTGCTGAGCCGGGCCAACTGTTCCTCCTGGCCTGCGGGCCCTCCTCGATGGCGACTGCTGAAGACGCGGCGAGAGGTGTAAAGTGCAGCAAGGCAGTGCGTGAGGTGGGCTGGGTGATCCCTCCCACGCCACTTTACTCATGCTGTCCCGAGGGGAGGCAGACACCAGACCAACTGGTGTCACTGCGTATCTGCCAAAACCATTGAGTCACTGAAAACAGGGCGCAAAGTCTCCGCATCCTTTTATTTTCTGCACATTTTTCCTTTGTTTGTGTTTTTTTTTAGGTTGTTGACCATCATGAAGAGCATAGTAATGAGGTAATAATAAGTCTATATCACCTTTCTAATGCACTTTATTTGTTGCCTCTTCTCTACTGCATCCCATTAAAGCTGCTGAAAGTGCATTGCTTCAATTTGTTCAGTCCTATTTAAAAAAATTACACAAAAATTGTTGTTTACAAAAATTTATTCATACAAATCTTACAACACATTTTTTTTTAGACATTTATTGACTTGACCCATATTGATCTCAATATTTGTAGTCTAATATCACTTTCCACACAGTAAATACATTTATTTATATATGTGTCTTTGAAGGTTATTTCAGCTTTGTAAGGCTATGGGCGCTTTTATTATCATACAAGTAATATTTCACGAAGAAGCTTCTGCTTCCCTGTCTTTTCACACCCACAAATAAAATCAGTGCTCTAAAACTAAGTGCAAAAGAAAAAAGCAGTGCAAGCAATAATCTTTGATGTCTAAGCTGGACGGCGATTGAGATCCTACCAAACGTTGGTGTGACACAAAGACGACAGCAACAAAAAGGCGATGAAATGCGAGCTGAAGATGTGCAGCATTGAAGGGCTACTAAAGAGCCATCTGTGATTCATGGCTTTTTTCTTTTTTTTTTTTTTACAGTCGATGCAAGGCACCACAGCTGAAAACTGCATCCTGCGTCACAAAGCCTAGAGGAAAATGCAAAATTAAAGAAAGATTGATACAGCAAACACAGATCGAATAACCTAACTCTGATGTTTTTATTCGTTTCATGTCATCAGGAAAATATTCACTCATCTGCTTTTAAAAACCAGCAGTTTAATCATTCTTGTTATCCCTTTACTTTTATATTTCTGTCCTTCCTAGTTGTTGAAATGTACCGCTTTGCAAATCACAGATACAAATACAAAAAAAAAAAAATCTTCATAAGACTATAAAGGATGGCATCAGACTGGGAAATTTGTGTGTAAAATACATTCCTAAATGGAAAACATATTTCAACCAACATTTTGTGTGGAAATATGAGTGAGGAGGACAAAACACAAAATAACAGCCAGCAGTGACACATATGTGTATGTAGTGGTGAAAAAGCAAGCAAAACCATCTAGTTGTCTGCACAAATGTGGCAGCTAGTGCAATTACTTTAATCATGCAGTTGGCAGTTTGTACATTGGTTCACATGACAAAGAAAGGGAAGCACAATGTACCCAAAGGGTTCAAACACAAAAGTTCAAACCACCTTGTATGTTTCTCACAAAGAAGAAAGTGATGGACAGGTTTCCATGTAACAAGTATCATATTTATTTTTCCAATTTTTTTTATTTGCCTGATGATGCTCAAAACGTTAATGATACTTATTATATGGGAAGAGAAATATGAGGAAACCTCCAACCACAGACAACCCACTTGATAGATACACTGTATTGGCAATTTACATGAGTCAAAAGGTGTAATATCAATTTGTAAACACTGCTGAAGTGGAACAACGGGTGAGAAATACCTCAAAGGTACGATCTTTGTGTCAAATGTGAGGTTGATTTATTTATTTATTTATTTTTTTTGTGGAAAAGTTTCTAACTCCAAGCAAGACTTTGGATTTGTTCTGAAGATTAGGGTAGGCTGAACCATAAGTGTCTTACCTGTTGCAGATAGCTCTTTTAACGTCAGTAACAAGAACAGTTGGAGAAATAGACTGAAATTTTGGACGGACTTATAAGCTAACGGCTAGTCCGAGTATACACATCACAGTGATTCGCATCAAACTGCTACAAATCTGTTTCACTCCCTCACCATGCTGCTACCATCACCATGCTTATTTGGTAGCGTGTTCTCAGGTTTGAAAGCCCCGCCATGACAAAACTGACTTCTTTGTGGATTGTGAAGCTGGTGGCTCAAGTTCATAGTTTTTTTTTTATTTTTATGGTGAGTTACAAGCTCAAATAGAAGCAGCAGCAGACAGCTGTAGCACTTTCTATGCAGCGTGAGATACTTCCAGCTAGAATACTCACGCTGGAATAACTGTGTAATGTGAAATAGACTGATGTAAAGGTTTATGAAACAGATTTTACATAAACTGCAATGAAAATTTGGACAATTTGTTATAAGATAGCAGCAATCCACTTTGACTTTAGCCTAGCTTGGAAAAGTGGCGATCTCATCATTGTGGTCAAAATAAAACTCTCTTTATTCAAATTTAAATCAGTCAAAGAGCTATCTACAAGTTACTGGACATGGCCTTTCCCCGCAATGGATCTGAATTAAAACAAGCCTTATCGTGTGAGCAAATGAGCCAAATGCAATTCTTACATGCTTGTTGTCACACAGTTGGAATCAAAAGCTGTGAGACGGGAGCACAGATGAGGTGAAAGGAGAATTTGAAGCAAGATCACAAGGCGAGAAAAAGAAACTCAAAAAGGGAGAGAGGTGAGAAGCCCTGGCGAGGACACAGCCTCAGGAAACTCACCGCAAATTCAGGAGAGAACTGTTTCAGCCAGTCTCCCAAAAAAGCTTCAAACTCATCCCCGTCCGGGAGGGCATCAAAGTCTATCACTTGTAGGATTTGGTGATAACCTATGTCTTCAAGGCTGTCGTGAATAAAGACAACTAAACTCTTAATGTCACTTTACAAAAAAATAAATAAATAAAAAGCAGCATTTAATGCATTGATTGTCTTTTAAACTATTTATTTTCCACTCATTTTTGTGTCTTCACTAAAAGATTAAAAGACAAGGCTGTTGGAGCAGATAATTCAATAAACAATTATGTCTTCATAACTAAGTCTTGAAATACATAAAGGCATTTTTTTAAATCTAAATTAACAAATGTTGGTCCACACAGAAATACTCAAGGGCTTTAAGTACTAAAAAAAAAAATAACAATATCATTATCAAAATATTCATTTAATGGCTTGCTTCATACGTAAGTACATGTTTGGGAACACAAAGCAATCCACTGATCGGTCAAAATGACTTCATCTGCACACATTGAAGTTTTTTTTGGATTTTTTTTTCTTTCTTTGTTCAGAAGGATCAGAGGAAGATGCTACAAATAAGCGAGCCGCCGTCCTTTGTTTCTAACTCTCTGTCTGTACCTTTTCCCCAGGACCGCCGCCAGGTACTTCTTGACTGCCATTTGCTTCCTGTAGCGGCTGTAGCTGTCTGTGAAGATCCCGTCTGAGTGGCGCTTGGACAGGGGCTCCGAGCTCGAGTCGTCCAGCGTTTTCCCTCCACTGCGAGAGAAGGAGACGCGTCACATTGATGCTTGATCAGATTTATCCAGGCAACCCCAACATTTGATTAGCTGTGCATCCACCTCGAAGGAAAAATTATTGAATTGATTCAGATTTTTGAGTTTGCATGAAGATTTGACACAATTTGCTAAACTTTTAACCCACCTCAGGAGGATATCAATGTGTATTTCCACTGAGATGAGATTACAACAGCCCCCCATCCCCCACACACTCTTCTGCTGGGATTTAGTAACATAAATTATTTATACAGAAATAAATTCAAAGCTCCCTTCCAGAATAGTCAGCTAAGGAAATAATATTTTTATATTATACCTTTAATAAAGGCTGAGTTAGGAAGTGTGTGTGTGTGTGTGTGTGGGGGGGGGGGGGGGTATCAGCTTCAGCAAGGATAAAAATAGGCATGTTCAGTACGTGAAACAGCATGAGTTATGAGCTTTTAAAGACCCATCCAACAGAAACGAAGACAAAACAAGGACAGAGAACACCAGATTTAGGACAGGAAGGGACAAACGAGAAGATGCTCTTACCCTACACGTTTTGCCATCAGAGAATGAAGGTATTTCCTTGCTGCTAACTGACCCAGCGCTTTCCTGTAGGCTTTATTAAACATGCCGTCTGCGTGTCTTTCCGTTCTGGGATGATATAGATAGCCACACAGTAAAAAATCACCACACACCCAGCGCAGGAGGCAACAAATATATCAAGTCGTTCTATTCTGCAACATGTTTCTGAAGATATCTGAGGCTGCAGAGCCTAAAAGAGCTAATTTTTATTAATTTTGTTTTTTTTACTTCCAGCTTTGCATTTTTTTTATTGATGTAATTTTTCTGACAATTTATTTATTTTGTTTTATATCCGTTTGTGTAAACTGACACTGAAAAGAATCTTTGTTTTGCAGCTGGGAGGAAAACTAACCTTCAAAATGCTAAAACTCTTTTTCTGCGTTGAAAGCTGCAACATATTGACAATACATCAATATACACGACAGGTACAACACGTGACAACACAAATACAGTAATGAGATGAAAACAGGAAAGACAGTAGTTTTTTTTTTTTTGTTGTTGTTGTTTAGAAATGTTGGTGACACTCACCGTTTCTCTGGAGGGTAGAACATAGAGAAGACATCGTCACTGACGGATGAAGGGCTTCTCACCTCTATTTGGTCTCCATCATAATCCAGGGACGGTAAAGAGTTACCGTCCTCGTCATAAACCTCACTGTCAAGTCTGAGCAAAAGCAAAATTAAAATGACTTTCCAGTCTGAATTAAATTTAAACTGGACAAACAGTGTTTATTTTACCCAGAGTTACAAAAAGATGTATTATTCTCCATCGGTTTGTTCAGAAATGTTACTCGATGCTTCCTTTTTGCACCACTTTGATCCCTATTAATTATCCAACGAGATAAATCGGTCGATTACTGGCTGCAGGTCAGGCTGAGACTGTACTTCAACCTAAATTACATTACAGCCGCTCCCTGGTGAATGTGTCTCAGCCCTATAGATTGGCTGCCATGATGTTATCTGCTAACCCAATAAGCGTTTTCATTTTAATTGAGGGACAGAAAAGACTTTCATTGTGCTGCTGTTTGGCTCTGTAAGCTGATTCTTTCATGTTTGAATCATAAAAAAAAGTTCAACTCAAAGGCTGAACAGAGCTACCTACCTGAAACTTGGAATGCTAATCCCCACAGGTGAGCAGGTGACGCTGTGATGCATTATGATTCCATAGATGAGTAATGCTAAGGTCGCTTTGCTGGACATTGTCCTGCTGCAAAAAGCAAAACAAGGAAGAAAATAAGTGGGAGTGTTTCATTTAAAACCGCCAGATCTGCTCTCTTTCTATCTCTTTTTAGGGTGTTTCTAATATTGTGTTGATGTGTTTCTAAAAACAAACAAAAAGCCACTTTTTCCAAAAATCTCTCCACTGTTACGCTGCGTAAAAACGCACAAAAGGGCGCCTCTTCTTACCAGTTGCGCGACGCTGGGCACGATCTTGTGAAGACTTGCAGAGTGAGATAGGGTCTCTATCTCAGGCTCTCTTTCTCTCTCTCTCTCTCCCTTCCTGTCCTCCTCCTCTGGTCCCTCAGTGATGCGATTCTTCAGTGTCCTTGGCGTTGCGGAGGTGCAGCCCTCCGTGCGCCCGCAGCTCGCTCACTTTTCGGGGACTTGTCTCTGTCGCTCCTGGACGGGACGGAGAGCTCCCTGTGCCTAAAAAAAACTGCTGTCTGCTGGAAAAAGAAAAAAAAACTTTCCTGCGTCTTGTCGAGTTCACTCCCTGTTGGTTCTTTATCCATGAACCAGAAAGGCTCGTCTTTTCACTTGTCACATATGGAAGGGGTGGGAGTTGGAGAGGTGGGTGTGTAAGTTTGGAGTAGGTGGCTGCGTCATTCCCACCCCCCACCCCACCCAACCCGCTCCCCCCAACTCCCCCCGTCCCATATGAGCACAGACGTCTTCCGCGTCAATGAAAGACCCCGAGCCAACTCATAAAAAAGAAGAATGTCTCTTGAATTCAGCCATCATCATTAATTAAAGTGTGAATTAATGTCAACGGCTGACGTCACGCTATAAATCAGATCACGTGACCGGCCTTCTGAAGCGCAGTGGGACGGACGGGCGGGAGCTGTTCAGTGCTGAAATCATCTCTAAAGACAAGCAAAAGATTAAAAAATGTCTGACAAATGAATTTCAGTAGATTCTTTCTTGTTGTTCTTTTTTTTTCATGATTGTAAAGGTCAGAGTCAGATATAACAAGATGATGAAGGCCTTTAATTTAGACATTTAAACAGATTTTTATTTTTGGATGCCAGTTTTAGATTTGATGTCCTTATCACCGTTTTGCTTTTCAAAACAACAAACATGCCATATTGTTATAATTTAAAATCCAACATCTTGCGTTATTTCTCCATTTTATTACACTTTCCTTCCAATAAGACACAATTTCTTCTAGTTTTTAAACTCATTTCTCTTATCCAGACTTACTTTGGGACTTTCAAAGAGTTTCTTTAGACTTTAGCTGTTGTTTTTAATTCAATATATTTTCAGAAGTGCGTTGTTGTTCTTCATTTTGTTGTTTGTTTGTTAACCCACCTAACTGAACTAAGAATCAGGCATTAAAAAATGTCCCATCTCAGGCAGTGAACCAGTGTGTCAAAATATAAGAAACATCTTAGCAAAAGTATGAAAATGCAGTTTGTAACAAATGCTATTTTTTTCCCCATTTCCTTAGTTTCATACATTAAATACTCCAAATGCAACAATGTTTGACACATAAAACTGTACTTTAACACCAACCAAGTAATTCTCAAAGAGATGATAGCTGAAAATTTGGCAATGATCAACTGAAGGACGTATCTCTTAGGTTTTGTGTAGGATCTTTTTTTCCTATTTTTTTTATTTCTTAAAGACTTGACTTCCACATGTCATTTATCTGTACCATTGTTTTTAGGTCTTGACTCTTCTTATTTTTCCTTCAATCGTCCAATTTTTTTTTATATGTTTTTAAGCACAAACTTCAAAAGAAGCTGTTATGGCAGGAGCAACGAATGAACAGAAAATGATCAAAAATGCAGCCAAAGTTCAAACTTTAAAAAACCCTCAGAAAAGTGTGAAGAACTACGGATCAAAACCACTTTATAGGATCATTTTAAAATCTGGCTGCTGAAACAAAATGTGAAGATATTAACGGCAGCTTCTAACTTTTCCACAGTTCCACCATCTCATGTTTTGTGACACCTCAAACACATCTCAGACTTGTGGTTTAATTGTGGTTACATTATTATTTTCTTTCTACTTGTAAAAAAAAAATGTCTGTACCAGTTTCCATGTTTGCAAACACATTTACTCTTTCTCCAACACTGCACCTCACCAGATGTCACACACAAAACCAGATATTGACTGTGCTGATTTGAGCAAACAGTTAATGAATTATCAAAACTACCTGTTTGAACTCGTTTTAATCCTTTAGCATTCCTTTGTCTTTACTTTAAGAATGATGAAGATCTTCATTTATAAAATCATCAATAAACAGTTGCAACACAGAGGAGGAAGACTCCTCCTTTTCCTCAATGAGGTAAAAATACTAACAACTAAAAATAGAGACAATGAAAATAACCCTTTGCAACCAAGAGTCCTGAATTATGAAACAAAGCAGAAATCTGTATGATGCACTTTTATCCAATAAAAATATCCTCAAGAGAATGAAGGATAGAAGAAAATATAAACCATGTCCCACAATTTCTGCAGAGTTTAGGTCATTTAACAAATAAATATGACTCTTGTCGTTAGGTTAATTTGGAGAAGCTAATCTGAGAAGTGGGAACATGTAAGTTATCTGCAATGGCTCATAAATATAACTGTATTTTCCAATCAGAAGATCATTGTGATTTGCTGCAGAGGCTGAGGCTCAAACTTCTGACCACCAAAACGACCGATGTCAAATAAATTTGATGTTCATCGGATTAAAAATGTGCGAACAGCTGCCAGATAAAGCCAACTTCTCAATGACATGTTTTTCTCTGAGACGTTGTGAAGCTACAATATAAAGCTGCATCAAACTAAAAACTCTGTTAAAGTTAACTTTTAAGTTTCTCTTCACGTGTTTCTCTCTGTGTTTTTCCATCCTGTTCATTAAGAGTCCAGCGTGTCTTCGGTCCACACAGGCTTTTCAGGACCATGAGTTGAATCTTTAGTGGGTGATTCAGACCCTTCGGTTATCTTGGCTCTCTGACGTCATGTGCATTGCTTAGTGCAAAAAAAAAAAAAAAAGACACTTTCTTTAGGATTAGAAAAACTAAAGGAAAGGAGAAAGAGCACCTTTCTTGCTCTGAGTGAGCGCTGCACCCCAGTGGTTCTGTAAAGAAAATGCACCATTGTGGGTTTTTGTGTACTCCACAACAATTCCTCCCAAACTGTTTTCATTTGACATCATTTATAAAGTACAACTGGACTTTAAATGTTCCTGCTTTTAAAATAGGACAACCACCTCTCAAACACTTAACTATTTAATTACGAGTGGGGCAGTTCATAATAATGTTTCCATGACTGTCTTACAGTGAAATGAATCAGGGTAATCATTGTAAAGTGGTGATTACTCATTCAGCTTCAATCATCTCTTAATAAGCACTTCTGGTTACTGCGAGATATCTAATTTTAATTATTGAGAGCGGACAGAAGATATGAATGTTTGTCTTTAATCCTCCGATGCTTGACTCATCACAGCTTTAAAATACGCTGCTGTATGTCAAATATTAATAAACCTGCGGACCCTGGTCATAACATGTGGCAATATTTGTATGTGAAGCGTTCATCAGTCTGATTTTAAACACGCAGACCTCATTTAAACATTCTGGCTTGTTTTTCCTTTGGTAAAATATTTGAAAAGTTGTGTTTTGTGCAACTGGGTTGTTAGTTTTTAGAAGAAGAAAAAAAAAACGTTTAAAAATGTTCAGTCTAGTTTTAAAGGTTTTCAAAGCACTGAAATGGCTCAAGTTCTATTTGATTTTATTCATGTTTATAAGCATCAGATTCAGGAGAACTTTTTGTTTTTGTCTTTTGAACGTCACAGCAGACCACAATATTTTACCCTCCCATTGGGAGCACGGTTGCATTCATGGCGCGGAGGGGTTCAGTTTTCAGATACTGTGCTTAGTTTTCAGCGCCTCTCTCTGTAGGGGTTCATCAGGGTTGTATCCTCGGCCCATTATAATTCTTCGTTTACATGCTTACACTAGGCTGTCTTAAAAGCATCTTTTCATAGTTGCACAAATGACCTATTTATGTGTAAAAGTATATTTTTTTGTCCTTCAGATATTAAATATTGGACTGTTTTAACTTTCATTGGCTTTAAGCAGCAAATCCATATTAATCAATATGTTTGGGCTACGTCTTATCACAATGATCATTTTATAGACCTGGGTAGCCTTAATCCAATTTGAGAATTAAAATAAATGAAAAAGATATGATTTTTGATTTTTAAATAAAATATTGTTTTTCTTTTGATTAAGGTGAAATGTTTTCAAACTGTATTTCAACTCTGTTACTGTAATTTGTAGCACATCAGAATCAATAAGTCCTCTTCAACACAACTGCAGCTTGTCTTTTAATGTGAACTCAAAAGCATGAACATGTTTCTCCTGTGCGCTTCACGTCACTGGTTCCCTTTTTATTTTAGGCTTACGTTCAAAGTGTTAACAGGGATTTTTAAATCACTTAATGGACAAACTTTTGTGTATCTTTCTGACTTCATGTAATCTGACCTCGATCAGAATTATTACATCCACTAATTGTTTGCTGTTAGTTTTCTTGACGTCTAAGCTTCTAAATTATGAAGCCAACTTCGCTGAATAACAGAAAGCCCAGAGCTCTGTCAGTTTATCTGTATGTTTATATTTTTAACACTGTTGTAGCCACTGTCTTTTAATTCAGTTTGAGTTGAAATGCTTCTAACCTTTTACTGTTGTTTAATTTTAACTAGTTTTATTTGTTTGTTTTTGTTTTGTCCTTTGTGGTAGCTTGTCAAACTATTGGTATTTTTAATCCATCCATCCGTCCATCCAACCATCTATCTATATATCCATCCATCATCCTTCATCTTTCATCATCATCACTTCTTACATTTTGGGTCATGGGGTCACTGGTGCCCATGTCCAGCTATCACTGTGAAAGAGGCGAGGGACACGCTGGACAGATCTCCAGTCCATCATAGGGACACATAGAGACAAACGAGGCAAACAACCATTCACTCTCTCACTCTCACCTATAGACAATTTTAGTTACTAATCAGCCTAACATGCATGTTTTCGGTCTGTGGGAGGAAACTGGAGTACCCAGAAAAAACCCACGCATGCACAGAAAGAACACGTAAACTCCACTCAAATAGGCCCCCAGATGGGATTTGATCCGGCAACCTTCCCACTGAGAGAAAAAAGCTCTATCAACTGAGCCCCCGTTCCACTACTACATTTAATAAACTTGAAAATTAAGAACAAATGCAGCAATAATAAATGACATATACTTGTAAGTGGAGTTTAATCAGTTATATTGACAAAGTATTAAACCTGATAAATGTGTTTTTGTTTGTTCAGATGTGTTTGCAAACAGTAGTTTCCTTGAAGTTACAGTTTAATATCTTTTCCTGGGCGGCCGAGCTGTGAGTAATCATATTAGACCACGCAGAGCCAAACGGAGCTTTTATCACTCCAAACAGGACAGCAGAGGAACATATGACTCAATCTAATTTTAGCTCTGTTTGCTTTTTATAGCATCTGTTGGTGCTGATATGTCGTGTTTGAAGA